CGCTTTTAAATGATCTTAGGCTTATTTAAAAGGTCATTTGTTACTCAATAAGAATTACTTATAGGCATTAACGTGTAATTTTTTCTTAGAAAATGCAGGCCGTCAAACTTGGACCAAAAAAATTCAAAAAATTTGGAACAATCTTATTAACAGAAAAATAATTTTTATAAAATTCAAACGTATTTTTTGAAAAATTTTTTTGAAAAATCTACACCATATGGTGTTTTATATATTTTATAAAATCGTTTTTAGTACAGAAAAATTGTTCCAAATTTTTTGAATTTTTTTGGTCCAAGTTTGACGGCCTGCATTTTCTAAGAAAAAAAATACACGCGCGTTAATGCCTAGAAGTAATTCTTATATTGTAACAAATGACCTTTAAAATAAGCCTAAGATCATTAAAAAGCGTTCATAATTTTACGAGTTATTCAAATTTTTGTAAAACATTGAAAATGACGATTTTTTAAAAATATCTAAATGAATTATTGGCGAAACGACTTCTGAAATATCTTGTTCTTTTTAAAATTTTATCATCTATCAAAAAATGAACAGAAAAAAATTGTAGTTTCAATAAATCTTATGTTTTAAAGCGTTTTTCATTCGCCTGAAAATGGGTGGTCTCTCAATTTTAAAAGGTAGTGTATCTTCATCCTTTTCTTACTAATTATCCAGAGAATCAGGCTAACATTCAAAACCTAACCTTCTAAGTTTAATCCTCCATTTTTCTCCGTGTACAAATAAATATTTAGTTATTTCAAAAAAATGATTTTATTGGTGCAAATAAATATTTATTTTAATTAAAAACTATTAGAGCTGTGCAAAATAATTCGAACCGAACTGTTCGAATTTTTTCGCCTAGTTCGAATGTCGAAAATTCGACATTCGAGTTAGCTTAGTTCGAATGTCGGTTTTTCGACATTCGAACTAGCCCAGTTCGAATGTCGAATATTTGACATTCGAACTAGCCCAGTTCGGATGTCGAATATTCGACATTCGAGTTACTACAAAATTCGAACCGAACCGAGTTTTGTTCGGTTTTGGTACGCTAAAATGTCGAATTCTAAAATTCGACATTTCAGTCGCCCAGTTCGAATGTCGAAAAACCGACATTCGAGTTAGCCTAGTTCGAATGTCGAATATTCGACATTCGAACTAGCCCAGTTCGGATGTCGAATATTCGACATTTCGGCGCCTCAAAACCGAACTAAACTCGGTTCGGTTCGAATTTTGCACAGCTCTAAAAACTATGCATTATTGAACCAAGTAATGTTCATAATTGATTTAAAGCAATATTTATTAGATCAAATTATTCCATTTAATTGACTTATTAATTAATTTGTATTTGGTTCAAATAAACATTTATTTGATACTATAAATTAAAATATTTATATCCAGTAAATATTTACTTAGTTCAAATAAATAAAAATAAATAAGTAAAAACAAATAAGTTTTAATACAACCGAACGAGCGTTAGCGAGTGAGGTATATGTCGCTAGTAATAAATAAATCCAATAAATTAATTTTTTTATTTAAACACTTGTCAACTTATTTTCGCTTTTTCATATTACCACATTTGTACGTCGGTGAAGTTTCAAAGGTTTATAATCAACAATTAAAAAAAAAGTATATTTCCTAGCAAATACAAAAAAATATTTTGTTTACAAATTTTTCTGTTTTAAATTATTAATAAAAAAAACTACATAAAACATTTTTGATATAAAAATATATCAAAATTTAAATAGAAGAATATTTTTTCTTTTAAATTGTTGATTATGAACTTTGTGAATGTTACCAACGTTTATCCATTTTTCGTTTACATGTATACATATTTACTCAATATTTTTTTTTGCTGTTTACTATTTTATTTTTTTTCCGCCATAAATTCCTCTTTTTAATTAAAAAAATACTTTTATTCAAACCTCTATTCAAAATATTTAATTTTTTCTATATAAACAGAAATATCATAGAAAATTTTATTTCTAAACACTCTTTTCATTATTTCGAATATTTCTATTTTCAATTCCTGCTTTAGGTATACTAAATAAATTCTATTATACTTTTTTTCACTTGAAAAAATACGTTATAACATTTAACTGAGGAATGCAAAAAAAAGGAAATGTATAACCAGTAAAAAAAATTTATAACAATTCTGCGACTTTACTATTTCGAAATTTATATTTTCATTAATTACTTTACTTAATGGAACGCAGTTAACAAGAAAATTCGTGGGAGTATTTGAAATAGTTGGAAATGACTTTTTGTTGAAAATTAGTCGAAATTTCGGTGGAATAAAAAAATAGAAAGATAAAAAAAACGAGTATTAAAGGTTTGTCGTAAGTGCAGGAAATCACACACCTATTTTATATGTATATATATATATATAAAATCTAATGCTCCTTTTTTGCTTCGCGATTCGTGGAATAAGTTTATGAGTGTAAATATATCACTTTGATCAGCCGATTGTCATTGACACAAATCATCTTCGAGTTGACCCCTTTTTATTTCTCATAAAACACATCAAATCGTTTTCAAAACCATTTACTTAATTGAAATCCGTCACTGAGTAAATAAGCGATCAACAGAAACTTCATTATGCACATTTATATATGTACACGCATGTATAATATTTACAATAATGCAGCATAAAGTAATAAATATACAAATAAAAACAATTATATAATATTTTTTATTAAATTAAATTATTTAGTTTTTCATTATTAAATGTCCCTTATTAATATTAGATTATTTATTGTAAAAACCTTTTAGATATATAAAATTGAATAGATACCCACGTGGAAATACATGACAGAAGTAAACATCAAAATATTAAATTAATATAATAATTTCTCCCTTACTTTTTGGTTTATATCAAAGCGTAGGTTATGTACAATGAAATTTAAAATTAAAAATTATTTAAAAAAATATAAAAATAACAATAAGAAATCTAAATTTCTCAAATTTTTTTAGGACCATGCCAAAAAAAATGAAGACGGATTCTACTTATATTTTTATTATTTTTCAATAAATTATTGTTTACTTTTATTATTAGTCACAAAAAGTTTAAGAATAACCAATAATAAGTGGTATTTTTTGACAAATTCTGTAAAATATTTGAATTTTCCATCTCCCCCGGACTTACCCTATATATATTTCAACTGTGGTCAAAAACTAGCGAACCATGCAATAATGACAAAAATATTTAAAACCTTCAAAATTTCTGTATTGTTGACCATGGCCAAAATAGATAGTTGCTAGAGCAACTATGATCAACGAAAAAAATAGTTTAAAACATGAAAATTAATGTACTTTGACTACAGCCACATTATTTGGTCCTAAACTATTTTTGCCTTTAGCTATGGTTTGTTAGACATTGAAAATGGGCAAAAAATAAAAATTTTCAGGTATTAAACTAAATGTCGGGAATGGTTCGCTAGTTTTTAATAATAATAATAATAATAATAATAATAATAATAATAATAATAATAATAATAATAATAATAATAATAATAATAATAATAATAATAATAATAATAATAATAATAGTTTTTTAATAATACTAAAAAAAAATATGTAATATTTTATAACTTTTAATTACTTTTTTAATATAATTTTAAAAAATAACTACTCTATTAATTAGCTGCAGAAATATAGGTTTACTAATTAGTCGAAAAACGCCGAGTAATAATTATTATTTTTTTCTTTTTTGCAAATGGATATTATTAAAAGTTTAGAAATTAAAACACAAAAAATGTAACGTTATAAGAAGTTTCTTTTCTTAAAGTTGTAACACGGATATTCTACTTTCGTTATAATCAAATTATTCTATTTGTTATTATATAAGAAAATATCCGTCTATTGTTGTTTTAATGATATTGCTGCTCGAGGCTAAAAAAATCAATTCTCTTTTTTATTTTTGTGAAAAAAGTTTTTACTCCTTGTTTTCCTGACAGTACTGATGCTTCTATATATTGAAGTCAATTGGAAATTTTTCATTGTATTTTAAATGTAACTTTTTCTCAATTGTTCGAGGAAAGAAAGAGATGTAGAGGGGGGAAAGCTTCATTAAAAAACCATCGAGAGCTTCAATATAATTTTTAAAGAACAGGATTTCTGGTATTTTCCATTTGTTTTCAACTATTTCAATTCACTTTTTTTTTCTTTTGTCTTTTTTCTCATTAAATTAAATAATGTAGTTGAAAATTATAGGAAAGGAGATTTTTATTTTATCGCAAATTTAAGAGACAAAATTATTCAAATTTTCTAAAAAATGTTTGTAGATAGTGTTTATATTAATTAATAAATTAAAAATTAACTCTTTTGGGTTTAAAATATGAATTTACTATAAATGTATCAAAAAAATTGATTCTTTTTCAACTTTATTTTAAAAAAGAATTCAAAATATTTTTAAATCAAAATGAAAAAAATTTTATAAACAAAGTTTTACATCCTTCAAATTATTTGTGTTTTTATTGTAGAAAAAATGCAATGAATTAATTAACGTTAATAATTTTCTTTATATAAACAAATCAAAATTGTTTAAATAACATCAGAATATTTTTTGGATTTTTATTATTAATTGTGTATTAGTTATTAACAATATAAATATTAATTTTTCATTTCAGTTAAGTAATTTTTAAAAAAATTTAAATTAACAAAATTTTGTGCATATGAAAGTTTAATACTTTAAGGGAATTATTTTTAAATAATAAATTCTATTTCTACAAACAATTTTACTCTTCAAGGAATCAAAAATAAAACAAAATTATTTTTTTTATGAAAATAATTTAAAATTTATAAAATTCGAAATAATTTCTCATAAATTTAAAAATAAATTGTAATAAATTAAAATATACAAATGGTACCTATTTTAAATTATTATTTTAAATTGAAATATTTCTATAATTTGACTAAGTTTTGATTTGATTGACTGCTAAATTATTTAAAAAATTTAAATTTATCCAGAATTGCTAATGAATGAAAATTTGATTTCTAATTTGCAGGAAATGTGGAAATTCTTCATAATGGAAAGTGGGGGAATATTTGTGACGACGAATGGGATGAATTGGAGGCAAAAGTTGTTTGCAGACAATTGGGATTTGACAGAGCCCTGAGGCCAACTACAAACGGTCATTTTGGACAGGCAAGAAGTAAGAAACAATATTCTGGATAAGGATCCTATGTTCTTCCTAAATAATCTTAATTTTCAACATTTTAAATAATTAAACGATGCATTTAAATACACATTACACTTTCCTCAATATAAGAAACGCGCGTCTCTACACGGAGAGCACTGAGAAGACATTATACTTAATTTAAATAGAAGAATAATTTTAAGAGATTTTTTTTAATTGAAATTAGTTTGTAAGCTTAACCCCAACACGGAGAAAAATAGAGTTTGAAAAACTGGAAGTCAATATTGAAAAAACTGAACTCAGTCCAGTAAAAGTACATTAATTCATTTCCATCAAGCATCTTAGGGTGTTGCGTATAGTGTATAGAGGGCCTTAGTTCCAAATGTCAATGTAAAGAGCATTGAAACACAGGCGAAGATTATAAGGCGCGCTGCAGTGTGCAGTGGAGAAACTGGACTCAGTCCCCTACGTCGAAATTTTCACAATAAAGGAACGCAGGCGCGGAACCTGTCAAAATAAATGGCCGACGCGAAACGAGTGTTTCCTTGTATTCACTTCGTCAATTTTATATAAAAAAACAGTAACCAATCATTGAAAAAATAAAAATATGTTAAATGCACTCTTTATATAATTATTCATATTCATTAATTCACAAGTTTTATTCTTCCCACATTTTCATACTTACAATTAACAACTAAATGCATCGGAAAATCTTACAATCATACGGAATTGAACACCTACCTAACCATACAACTAAATATACGCATAATTATAAATCGCACGCTTTTACATTAAGCCTCTCGGCTACGCAATCGATGGGGGAAATTTCCTATTTAAGAAACATCCCTTCCCTGACGGATGGTGTTGACTGAATGTGCGCTTATAAAGTGCACATTGGGTGCACATTTTTTTAATATGAAAATATTTGATAAAATTGATGAAAAATGTTGAAATAAACATTTTTAGTGAATAAATAAACATGTTTAGAGTAAATAAAAAAAACATTTATGATAAATAATGTTGAAACTAATTAATTATTAATAATTGAAGTGTGTAATGTTTGAGAGTGAGTCAAACAGTGCATGACATTTCTTTTTTTTCTTCTTGAATAAATGCTTATAACACGAAAAAAGTGTTTGAAATACATAAAAGAATGTTTAAAATATTTTACGTTTATTTTACCTTGTATTGTTAATTGTTATTTATTTAAGAAAAACAATTTTCTCATAAAATGTATACTTTCTAGTGAGAAATCTAGTAACATTAGTTTTTCTATGAACCGGAAGCCGTGAATATTTGTATGTTTAAAGGTGCAATCACACTTTTCTGTTGAAATCCAGTTCACAGCTAGTTAAAAAGGTGTTTCTACAATAACCTGCAAATGCATTTATTTTGTTTGATACAAAATAATTGCACAATCTGATTATAAGTTTCTTTAAATTAGTAAATTGAATATAAATTATCATGAATTCATATGCAGAGAAAAATACATGTCTATTTTTTTGCATCTGCCTCGCGCATTTTTCACTTTATTAGAATTATTAAAAGTTTTTTTTGAACTTGACATGTAAACATAACCTATTATATTTACATTATTATCCGTGAAATAAATTCTTTTTGTCCACATCTAAAGTTTGACTTTTGTTTTGTTTGTTTTCTTGTTTAGAAAATACGGATGTATTTTTCATGATTTATAATAAAATAATATTTTAAATTGGTAAATTTTAAAAAATTATGATTAACAAATAAATGTTGTTTTTTGTACGATTTTTTATAACAAATTTTGTTTGAATGATCTGAATTATGCAAATTTTTTGTATTTTTATCTATAAAAAATATAAGAAAATTGTTAAAAAATTATCATTAAGAAATAGGAGATGTATCCAATATAAATTTTCATAAGAAAACAATTTGAATTACAATTGCTTTAATAAAATTCAAATTTTTTTAAAAATACTTATAAATTCTATTTGTCAATTGCAAATTTTTTGATTTTTATAAATGAAGGAAAACATTTTACTTAAAAAAATGTTCTGTTACATTTCTTTACGAATTTCTTTAATTGTAAAATTATTCAAAAACAATCATTTCTTTTTTAAATATTTAATTATTATTATTTTTCCACAGGAATTAAGATTTTTAAAAATGTCAAATTCAAACTTTTTTGAAATTAAACAACGCTTATAAAAGTATTATTATTTTATGTTAAGAATATTGTTACTGTAACTTCTTAAACATTATTTCTAGCATTTGAAATCAATTATTATTCTCTAGAATTTTTAACTAAAACTTTTGTCTAAATCAACAATTTTTAATAACTTTTGAAAAAGTTCTTTGAGAATTTTTAAATACATATATTTGCTTTAAAATTCAATTTGAAGAAATTTCGATTATTTGGAAATTCTTCAATTAAATATTTTAGAAACTAAAAACGATAAATAATTCAAAAAAATTCTATTAAACAAATTAAGAAAAATTAGTTCCATAGAATTCTTAATTAAAAATATGAAAAGTTTAAATTTTCAAAGATTATATTTTGAAATTCACTTTTAAATCCATATTTATTAGAAATTTCTAAGACAATTCAATTATTTAACTATAAAAATAAATATTTTATTAAACAATTGAATGTTTCTTAAAATTTTATTTTCTAAAAAAATTTTATCAACAAATTTTTAAATAATTGAATTCTCTTCACAAATTTTAATAAAACTTTTTTAAGAATAATTGCATTTTTCGAGAAATTTGATAAATATTGTATTAAAAATAATTAAAATTTTGCCAAGCATTTTATAAAAAGCTTTAAAAATAATTGAATTTTTAAGAAAAATTTTATTATTTATAATGTTAATCGAAATTTTGACAAAAATTTTTGAAGATTTTTAAACATAATTGAATTTCTGTGAAAAATTTTATTAAAATTATTTTGAAAAAATTAAATTCTTAAGCAAAGAATTGTATTAAAATTTTTGACAACAATTTTATTCTTGAAAGAAATTTAATTAAAAATTTATCGAAAATAATACTTAAATTCTAGTAAATAAATTGTAGTAAAGGTTATTAAAATAATTAAATATCTGGTAAATTTTAATAAAATTTTTAAGAATAATAACTTTTTTCGAGGAATTCTACTTTTTCTACTTGCTACGAAACTAGAAAAAACAAACAGGAAATTTTTCTTGCTATCAACAAAGTTTTTTCTAGTTTCATAGAAAGTAGAAAAAGTCTTTATAAAAGGTTTGAGAAAGAAGCAAAGATATCCGAAGATTTTCAATAAAAAATTTTGAAAATTGATGAACTTAGAGCCAAAAAAAATATAAAAATTCCAAATCTTTACAAACAGGATATTTTTTTACTATCAACAAAGTTTCTTCTAGTTTTGTAGCATGTACCGAAAAGTCTTTACAAAAGGTTTGAGGAAAAAGCAAAGAAATCCGTAGATTTACTAAAAAAATACTTAAATTCGTTGAACTTAGCCAAAAAAAATGGGAAATTTGTAATTTTGTATTTTTCTGTCTAAGTTCATCAATTATTAAAAATTTTTCAGATAATCTTCGGATTTCTTTGCTCCTATCTCAAACCTTTTATAAAGAATTTTTCTACTTTCTATGAAACTAGAAAATACTTTGATGATAGCAAAAAAAATTTCCTGTTTGTAAAAATTTAGAATTTTTTTTTTTTTTTTTCTTTTATCTTTTTTTGACTCTTTAGGAGTTAATATTTTTATCTTCATCATTGTTATGCAACTTTTGATTAAGATTAAATTATGAATTCTTATTATATGAATAATGTATATTATGTATTTTATTGTACTTTAAAAATTGTTCTCATGGTTTTCCTAGAACAAAATAAAGGAAATTCTAAATTCAAATTTCTTTGCTTCTTCCTCAAACCTTTTGAAAATTCTTCTCTTCTCTCTTCTTAAAGACTGGAAATATTTTTCTCTTTCAACACAGTTTTTTCAAGTTTCGTAGCAAGAAGAAGAAGACTTTACAAAAGGTTTGAGGAAAAAGCAAAGAAATCCGAAGATTTTCTGAAAAAATTGTGAAAATTGATGAACTTAGCCAAAAAAAAAATAAAAATTCCAAATCTTTACAAACAGGAATTTTTTTACTATCAACAAAGTTTTTTCTTGTTTTGTAGCATGTACCGAAAAGTTTTTACAAAAGGTTTGAGGAAAAAGCAAAGAAGTCTGAAGATTTACTAAAAAAATATTTAAATTCGTTGAACTTAGCCAAAAAAATAGGAAAATTCCAAATTTTTAAAGACAGGAAAAATTCTTCTCCATTATCAAAAGTTTTTCTAGTTTCGTATCAAGTATAAAAAGAATTTTCAAGAGGTTTGAGGAGGGAGCAAAGAAATCCGAAGATTTTCTAAAAAAATTTTGAAAATTGATGAACTTAGCCAAAAAAATAAAAATTCTAAATTTTTACAAACAGGAAATTTTTTTCGCTATCAACAAAGATGTTTCTAGTTTCGTATAAAGTAGAAAAAATCTTTAAAGTCTTTTGTAAAGACTTTTTCTACTTGCTACGAAACTAAAAAAAATTTGTTAATAGTAAAAAAAATTACCTGTTTGTAGAAATTTGGAATTTTTATTTTTTTGGCCAAGTTCATCAATTATTAAAATTTTTTCAGAAAATCGTCGGATTTCTTTGCTCCTTTCTCAAACTTTATCTAAAGACTTTTTCTACTTGCTACGAAACTAAAAAAAACTTTGTTGAGGAAGAAAAAAATTTCCAGTCTTTAAAAATTTGGAATTTTGTATTTTTTTGTCTAAGTTCATCAATTATTAAAATTTTTTCAGAAAATCGTCGGATTTCTTTGCTCCTTTCTCAAACTTTATCTAAAGACTTTTTCTACTTGCTACGAAACTAAAAAAAACTTTGTTGAGGAAGAAAAAAATTTCCAGTCTTTAAAAATTTGGAATTTTGTATTTTTTTGTCTAAGTTTATCAATTATTAAAATTTTTTCAGAAAATCGTCGGATTTCTTTGCTCATTTCTCAAACTTTTT